CTTGCTCTGAACAAGGTTGGGAGTCTACACCTGCAGAGGAAACAAATTCCTCTGTATGGGAAGGTGGCATGATATGGGGAGACATATCACTTATATTTTCAAAGGTTGCACCCTTTTGAGAGGGTGTTCCCTGTGGCGTGGCTTCCCTTTGGCTATCATAACCAGAGGCAGATGCGACCTCTGGTTGGTTTGGTTGGTTTGAGTTCGAGGTGTGCACCTCTATTTCAATGACTCCTGTGTCTCGACCACCGGAGTCAGATAATATGTTTGCACTAGGAGGTGGGGTGTCAAAACGGATGTGACTAATTAGCCTAGGCTGCTCTGGCTCACCCCGAGGCAGAGCAGCTGCTTCACCTCCTCCCTCTTTCTCTTCACTCTCTTCCTCGTCACTCTCACTCTCTTCTTCTTCTTCCTCACTAGAAGTGAAAGACCTAGCAGCATCATCAAAATGCTCTTGGTCACCCTCTTGATTAGAGCTAGAGGATTGATGAGCTTCTTCCTCTGCTCTTAGTCGTGCCTCTTCTATTAGGCGAGCGATCTCTGCTTGTCGAGCTTTTTCTGCTCACTCTATCTCTTCTAGTTTTTTAGCAAGTTCAGCCAATCTCTCTTCCTCTGCTCTCACCGCCACTTCCTCTGCTCTCACCGCCTCTTCCTCTGCTCTCACCGCCTCTTCCTCTACTTGAGGCCTTAATGTGTCCTCAGTTCTTTCTTCCTCGTCGGCTATTCCTATGCGTACCGGGGTTTGAGACCCTGGTTCTAGTGTCTCGCATGTACGTCTGCACGCTCTCCTAATCTCCTTCGTCTTCATATATGCCCAGAGCTTCTTTGGAATGCGCCTTTCTGCTGCGTATCCTTCTTTGTTGACTGTTGGCCGGTATTGAGTAAACACGTTCACTTTGTGCGTGGGTAGACAACCCACATCAATATTGTTGTCGTCAAGAGCAAGCCTTAGGAGGAGACCCAAGAAGCGTAGAAACAACAGATATGGTAGTTGCCTCCCTTTGGCCACCTCTTGACATTTCATGGCCACGACAACCTTGAACTCTGTATAGAGTATCAAGGAGTAATCCAGAGATAGGTCGAAGAAGATGCAGTATAGGATTTGCAGGATGTTCGTGGAGCACATATCTAAGCTCCCAATCTTCCCAGTAAGAGATTTGTTGACCAATGTGAACAGAGTGTTCCACGTTGGAGGAAGGTATTGACGACGGTACTGAGAAGGATACTGGATTGCCTTGTTGTACCCCAAGAATTTTAAAAAGGCCGCGATCTCATCCCCAGACGGGAGAGGGGCGTATCCATCAAGCCCTAGGTTTATTTTCGTTTGGATTTGAAGAACGTGGGAAAACATAGACCTGGATATGCGAACAGTGAGGAATTCCTTCGAGGATGAGACATAAAAATCTCCAACGATTCCTCTTTGAGAGTCGGTAATAGCGCAAGATTGCCAGTATTCTTGGATATACCTTTCTGGTACAAGGTCGGCCGTGTTTGTCAAAGCAGGGTTTAGAAAGTGGTTTTGGAGGATGTTGATGATTGGGTGGTATTTTTGGTCGAAGTTTTCAAGAGAGATGGAAGGCATGGTTATTAGGTTTGATTGGAAAAGGAACCAGGTTTTGAATGGTTTCCTCAACAGTTTTGTGGGTTGTGGTGTGTGTTTGGGAGTTGCCAGACTCGGAGGATGACATAGTTGTAGGTTTTGGGTGAAAAAGAAGAGTTTTAAAAAAGACGAAACTAGGGTTTCAAGAATCGGATCTTGATTCTCAAAATGGGGTGAGAAAAGGGTTTAAAGGACTTACTTGACAAACGGAATGAAGTTTCAATCACAGATTGGAGTTCCAGTAACTGGTTGGAAACCTGGAAAAGGAACAATGACGGTTTGGAGGTTGAAGACGCCGGATTCTTTGTAATTTCTTTGAAAGCGTAAAAAGGAAATGGGGGTAAAAAATTTATTTAAATAGAACAAATAAAAAGCACTTGAGTATTTTGCGCCCCAATCGTCAGGTTAAACTGAAACGGTTTTTACACAGCCTGTGGGGCGCGGCACGTGGAACGCCAGCTGCAAAGTGGTGCTTCCCACGTTTGAAAAATTAAGCTCACAGGCGGTGACGCTTAGTTTAAATAACAGAAATTAAAAAAAAATATTAAAAATAAAGAACCGTACGCCTTCTTAATAAAATAATATATTTTGAATTTTCAAAAAAATTGACAAGTGTAAATACTCTGGTTTGTGTAAAATAGAGGTTTTAAAAAGAACCAGAGTAGTACATGAAGAGAAAGAGAACATACATTTGGATCTCATACAGAGACTCGTGCTTGAAGTTATACATCTCCTCTATGTAGAAAACTTGCTATGTTTAGAGGCAGAGGCTCTGTCCTATAATCATAAAAGTTTTTAAGAAGAGGCTCTATATAGTTCATACAGAGGCTCTGTGTGACATGATCTTGTGCTCCCCCTTGACTTGAGCACTTCTTATCTGCTCCCCTTGAACTATGCTTGGATCATATGTGATAAGTATTGCACATGCATAAGAACCAAGGTACAAAGGCTCTGTATCACAAGAAAACTAGGATTTGAGCAAGAGGCTCTGTCTCATGGTTCAATACAATAAACAACAAAACAAAAGTATGCATAAGGGATGGAGAGGCTCTGTATAGTACACACAGAGGCTCTGGCTTAGTTGGAAAGATTTAGCATACCCAACTTGCTAACCAAAAAATTAAATCTCTTTCATCAAGAGCTTTTGTAACAATGTCAGCAAGTTGTAAATCTATACTAACAAAGAACATTTCAATCGTACCTTTCTCTACATGGTCCTTGATGAAATGATAGCGAACATCGATGTGCTTTGTTTTTTAGTGTTGCACTGGATTGACTGTGATTGCGATAGCACTTTCTGAATCATACATAATTAAAATCTTCTCAAACTCAACGCCATAGTCTTTCAATTGAGTCTTCATCCATATCACTTGGGAACAGCAACTGGCTGCAGCTACATACTCTGCTTCAACTGTGGAAGTAGAGACGCAGTTCTGTTTCTTCGAAGTCCAGCTTATGAGTTTGTCCCCTAGTAATTGGCAGCTCCCTGATGTACTCTTTCGATCAAGTTTACAACCTGCATGATTAGAATCTGTGTACGCAATAAGATCAAAACCAAAATACTTTGGATACCAAAGACCCAGAAATTGAGTCCCTTTAAGGTATCTAAATATTCTTTTCACAGCCGAAAAGTGAGATTCCTTTGGGTTTGCTTGAAAACAAGAATAGAGACATGTGGCAAACATGATGTATGGTCTACTAGCCGTGAGGTATAGTAGTGATCCAATCATTCCGCGGACAATTATCTAATTCTCACAAGTGTATGCTAATTCTCTCTAGCAAGAGCGTCTTCAAAGTATGGCAATTTGGAGTTTTTTGTTTTCTGAGAGGAAACATCTTTATATATGCTATTGAAACAAAATCTTCAATAATTCAGGCTTGAAACTCTATCAGCACATCCAGAATCATTAGCCTTCACGTTCCTTGAAAGTTGGAACCGTTTCTGTACATGTGTCGGCTTCTGATTGGAACACTTGTGATGTGCGCTGGAAGCTCTGTGCCCAAGCTAAGGAAGAAAGAGACCCAGAGGCTCTGCATGTATAGTGTAGAGGATCTCATTTGAATAACTTTTTTACTTTACTATTTATGCGCGTTATCTTCTGCCTTCCTACACTTCTATGTGACAAGAAGAGCACCATCTTTTTGAGTCAAAATCTAGTGACGCATGAATGGAGTAAATACATTGACATTGACTATCACTTTGTGCGTGAACTCGTATCATCCGCTTGTCTGTGTACTAAATTCGTTCTGTCACATCTCTTGCTTGTAGACATATTTACCAAAAGTCTTCCTCATTTGTTGTTTGAGTTTTTTCGATCGAAGCTCCACGTTGATCCTTGCACCACATTGTGCTTGGGGGGAGTATTAGGAAAGAATTGAACTAGTTTTTTTAGTATATCCTTCCATGTATAGCTTAGCAATAGTTTAGCATATTTCCTTTTATTTATCTTTTTAATTAGCTTGTAATCGTCTTTTCAATATGTTGAATAGAATGCTCCTAAAGTTGAAGGATTCTTATCCTTATTTACATAAATCAAATATAAATCTGTTAGGTTTCCATCTTACCTCATGTTAATGTATTTTTTTCACCTTTTCTAAACTTTTATGGTTAAAACAAACTTTTTCAGAACCATCAATATTAGAATAAAAAACCTATGTTGTTTATAGCTTGAGATCTTATTCTTGTTATAGAGAGAAAAGAATACTTAAGATTCATTCCCTTAATATTATGTTACAGTGAGTCAGTAACAGGGGCAGATGCATATTGAATTCGATGGGATCCTGGGCCCCCAACAAAATAAAGTTTAGAAGGAACATATATATTTTTTTGTTTGTAGTTTTTAACTTAATTTGATTGGGCCCCCAACAAGATAATTATGAAGGCCCCACTCCATTTCCTGACTTCACATTTCACAATCACATCGTTCACGCCACGGTCGGTCGACGGTCTTCACTCATAACCTTACATGCTGGTGCACACGGACAAGGCACGGCACATCGCTGCTTCTTGCCTTCTTCACTTCCTGTCTTCCTAATCCTGCTACTTGGCTGCTTGCTTCTTTCTTCCTGGACATTGAAGCAAAGCAACTATTTTCTCCTGTGTGCGGCTACAGGCTACTCCAAGTCTCCAATTTGGGTATTTTTTTTTCCAAATTCCAATATTTAATTTTTAATGACTTTGATTTTTTTGTTTGCTTCACAAATGGTGATTTGGTAAATGTTTTATGTTAGGTTAATTTTGCAATTTTATAGGCAAATGGAAATGTTAGGTTCATTTTGCAATTTTGTAGGAAAATGGAAATATTAGGTTAATTATGAAAATTTGTAGGCAAATGGAAATTTTACTATTGATAAAGATAAACCATTGATTTTTATCTTGTTATTGTTATTGCTAGAAAAAATGGAAAGATTTTTTAAAAGGAAAGCATCAACAACTGAATCGAGCTCTGCTCCTTCGATGCCCTACGAAATTGATTTGAACGATCTTCCATGGGACCCAGCCGATAGGAAAAAGATTTCGGAATATCATCCTAATCGAAGGGATGAAATAAGAAGAAAATACTTGCTTAGAGGACCTTGTCAACCATGGGGTCATGCATTTCCAAAAAAAAAGATCGGGATTAAAAGAAGATCTTTTTGTCCAGCTTGGTTTGATCAATACGCTAATTGGTTGGAGTATAGTGTAAAAACGGATAGAGCTATTTGTTTGTGTCGTTATTTGTTTAGCGATTATTACGTAGGACAATGTGGAAGTGATGCTTTTGTAACAGATGGCTTTAATAGTTGGAATAAAAAGGAAAGACTTGGTCTTCATGTTGGCGACATTAATAGTTTTCACAATAGAGCACTTAAGATAATTGAGGATCGAATAAGCCAAGATCGATCTATTGCCGTTGCTTTTCATAAGCAAACTGAGAAGGAGAAGAATGAGCACCAAATGCGATTAAATGCTTCAATTAAGGCTTGTAGATTCTTGTTGAAGAATGCATTGCCCTTTCGTGGTCACGATGAATCTGAAATGTTTATTTCTAAAGTCATGTTCTTAGAAACATTAGCCTTAATTGGTGATCGCAATGAGGATGTAGGTAAAGTTATATTAAAACGTTTTCCAACGAATGATCAAATGTTGTCTCCAAGTATTCAAAAAGATATTGCTGCTTGTTTTGCAAATCAAATACTCAAATCCATGCGTAAAGAAATTGGTGATGATGTGTTCTCATTGCTAGTTGATGAGTCTAGTGACGTTTCTAAGAAGGAACAAATGATGGTGGTTTTACGATATGTTGATGCACGTGGTATTATTAAGGACAAATTTTTTGGTATTGTTCATGTGACGGGGACATCTTCTTCAATTCTTAAATCTTCCATTGATACTTTATTTGTTGAACATGAATTGAGTTTGAAACAGGTAAGAGGGCAAGGTTATGACGGAGCAAGAAATATGCACGATGAGTTCAACGGATTAAAGGCCTTGATCTTGAATGAAAATATCTCGGCATATTATATCCATTGTTTTGATCACCAACTTCAATTAGTTGTTGTGGCGGTTGCAAATAAACATGACAGAGTTGAGAACTTTTCTAATATGTTAGGAATGGTGATCAATGTGGTGATTGCTTCTTGCAAGCGTAAAGACATGCTTCGACAAAGTTACAAAGATAGAGTGCAAGCAATTGGTAAGTGTGAAATTGATACTAGAACAGGGAAATACCAAGAGCTTTCTCTTATACGAGCCGGAGATACACGATGGGGTTCTTATTACAAAACCATTTTGAGCTTGATTGCTTTGTTTCCGAATGTTGTTGAAGTGCTCCAGTATGTTGAAGAGGACGGGGATAATGGTTTTACTCGCACTCAAGCAACTGGTATTTTAGCATATTTGAAGACATTTGATTTCGTGATTGATTTGCATTTGATGTTTCATATTTTAGAGGTCACAAACTTGTTGTCAGGGGCTCTTCAAAAAAAGGATTAAGATATTTTGGAAGCGGTTTCATTGATAAGAGGAACCAAACAACTATTGCAACAATTTAGAGAAACTGGTTTTGATCCACTTTTGAAGAAAATGTATTCTTTTAAACATCGGCGCGCATGTAAACGGGGCTATTTTGCCGAGTTCCTTAGAGAGAGTCAAAGTAAATATAATCAATATAAGTATTGGGAATAACATAGTATTATCCGGCAAATTCCGCAATTGTGACAATCTCGATGAAGCAAATGGTATTAAAGCTTTGGATAGGGAAGACCGTTATTCAAAAAATGGAAGACAAATGACCAACATCACCAATTGTTATTATTACAAGTTTGATACTTTCAACACTGTTGTGGACATGCAAATTCAAGAGTTTGGGGATCGATTTAGTGAGGTAAGTACTGAATTGCTTAAAAATATAGCAGCTTTGAGTCCATGTGATTCATTTTCGCAGTTCAATGTATCAGATTTATTGAAGTTGAGTGAGTTGTATCCTCAAGATTTTAGTCATATGAAAAGGATCGCTCTTGAAAAAAAACTTAACATGTACTATTTCATTGTGCGTCAAGATGAAAGATTTGCTAATTTGAATGGTATTGCCGAGCTCGCTAGATTACTAGTGGAAACAAAAAAGCATTAAAGTTATCCTCTAGTATATCGATTAATGAAGTTAGTTTCGGTTTTGCCAGTTGCTACCACAACAGTCTAAAGATGTTTTTCTGCTATGAAGATTGTGAAGTCAGATTTGCGCAACAAAATCAGTGATGAATTTTTGAATGCTGCAATGATATGTACTATAGAAAAAGAAGTACTTCTCACAGTTTCAAATGATGATGTAATTACTCAATTCCAAAAGATGAAGAGTCGTAGGACACAAGTAGTAAGAGGTAACTTTTTATCATTTTTGTATGAAATTGAAGTTAATTGTTATTTTATCTTATATCATGCCCCCTAGAATATATTTTTCTGCATCCGCCACTGGTCAGTAATGTATAAATAAACAAGGGTAGTTTTGAAATCATAAATATAGATATAAGTTAGACAATCTATATGGTTGATAATTTTTTTTCAAAAGGCATGATTTTTTTTAGTTGATAACAAGAAATCTATTATATTCTAAGATAAAAATAGAATTCATACGAATGGAATAATCAAAGAGTCAACAGAAGATAAATGATATAGAATATATATATATATATATATATATATATATATATCCACGTTTTTTAGGCAAAATAGTTTTAAAGTTTGATAGTTGATAAAAGAAACTTAAAAAAATAATAAGAAATACGATAAAATAAACGACCAATTAACATTTTACAAATCTGTTTAATATTTTCTAATGTTTGTGTTGTAAAATGTGTTACAAATCTACTTATTATTTTTAGATTAATCAATAACTTAAGAAATTTTTTAATTATTTAAATATATTTATTAATATGTCAAGTCCAATGTCCAAAAAAGTTAAAAACAAATGTGATAGTCTTTTCAAGATAAATTTTTTATTAAAAATATAACAAATTTTATTTCCTTGAAAATGTTAACGAGATAAATTGTCAAGTTTTTTTAATATTATTATATTAATTATTAATTTAGATCTTTTTAGTTATATTAATATATATATATATATATTAAATAATATGTAAATTTAGCTTTTTGAAAGTACAATGATGTAATAAGAAATGTTAGGTGAAAAGAAAAGGTTACTCATTTGTTATAATTGATAAATTTGTCAAAATACAATACCATAATAAAAATAATTGAAATACATTGTTGTAATAAGAAAAAATGAAAATACAATACCATAATAAGAAAATTTGTGAAAGTATATTGTTATTTCATGGATTTAACCATGATTAATACATGTATGAGTCCTTAAAGTAATATTAAATTTTTTTAAGTCTTATTTAAATATTAAAAAAATTGTATCTCTTTTATTTTCTAAATTTTTGAACTACTAGTATAGACTAAAAAATGTTGACCCCTATTTTTAATAGAACCTGAGCGTACGTGCGATCCAACCGAAGAAATACAATATATAAATTTGCCATAGTTTTATTCATGAAGTAAGATTTGATTTGACAACCTGTCACATATAGATAAAAGGTAAGGTGACGTTTATTTTTTAAAAAGTATTGAAGTCTGAATTTTTATTTCACTTTTGATTAATAAGAGGTGGTGCTAAAGTATGAAATCTGAATCAATAAGAGTGTTTGTTTCTGTAAACTGATATATATCTGAATTTGTTTAAATTATCTTTTTTACGAATTAGAAAATTATAATGTTGAATTTATAGATAAATTTATACAATTTCACATATTTATTCATCACTATTACAAAAGTTATATTTAAATTATATAATTAACATTTATTTAAACGAAAATATGATATTAACGGTATTTAACACATTTTAAATCCTATTAAAATACACCAATTTAGAGATGTGAGGATCGATTTGGTAATGATCAATTGAGAGAAATGATTGATTAAGGTTAATCGACTGAGAAACGTTGTTGCTAAAAGTTTCAAGAACAATAAGAGGCAAATAAGAGGTTGGTTTACCTCTTACCAGATAAGAGGACAATAAGATGTAAGTGCCTCTGAAAAATTGAAAAAAACAAAAGTCTAAATGACCCTACCTCTTAACGAATCAGACATAAGAGACTAATAAAAGCTTCTTTTAAAAATTAAAAAAAAAACAAGGCCTAAACTTCTTCTAAGCCTTAAATTATGGGTTATCAATAACTTTTTATCATGGTTTTAAGTTAATTTAGAGATTTATATGCCAGTTTACTGCTTTGAGGTGTTATAGTAGGTTTGTGTATTTCAACACCATAAGAATTCTTGTATGATGAGTTCGGGAGGTCTAACAAAATGTGTAGAGTATGGTTGATTGAGTGTTAAGACATCTCGTGTAGGTCATATGTCTCATGTTGAAAGGGTAGTTTTTATCTCTTTCAGTTGATGTTGAACGGTATTTTATCAACTTAATATTTATTGTCCTTCAGTAGAATTGTCGTCATCCTTATTCTCATTGTCAATGTTTCATCGATCGTTTTCCAAGTTATTTTCATGAAATGATAATAATCTATCTCTGAAATCTTCATACCAAACACAAGTGACAACCTTTCAACTTTAAAGTTAGTTTTAGCACATGTCTTTTTGGGTTCCACTCTAACCTTCCACATATACTAATAAGTCAAATTATAAATGTAAAGGCCTCCATAACTTTTGGCAACGTTACATTATCTACAAAATCCTCAAGATCTTGTATGTTTCATGAATACATCTTAAGGAATAGACTTTCTTGATGAATTTGGAACTACGTAACAAATTATATTGATGTAACAATTTATCTCATATTGATAAAAATTAATATTTGTGAGTTCGTTTAAGTGGGTGGGATGGTGATAACCCGTCCCATATGAATAGAAATTTAGATTTTATGGTCCCAATAACGTTTTTTGTGGTTTTAAGTCGATGAAAAGGTTACTGGGTCAATCTATTGCTTTAGTCTTGTGGTGAAACGTTTATTGTATATATGCTTAGTCTTACTGATATTTCAAATATTTGCCAATTCACTATCATTCTTACCTAACATTGGACCAGTATTATCAGCTTAACTGCTAAACACTACAAATTTATCAGCCAAACAATCGATATCGAAGACAATCACATCAATTTCAACTTCAAACTTCTGTCTCGAACAATTTCTAGATCATTTTCTAAGTTTTTTTTACTATGTTCTTTTACTTTGTATGTAACAACATTGTTGATGATGAAAACTTAGAAAAATGTTACCAATATAGTGTTTTATTGTGGTATAAAAGTTAAAGTTGAAGATTTTAATTGTACACACATACATAGAGAGATAGAGGATAGGAGATAAATAATATAGGATATAACTAAAAGTTAGAAACCATGAACATCATGCATGTTTTGTTTTATAGAACACATGTGAATAAGTAGTGTTCATTTATTATTGTTTTATAGATAAAATGTTGATAAATGTTTTGTATGAAAAGAACAAAAAGAGAATGTTTATACATGAAATACATACTTACACAGACTGAAGGAAAAGAATGTGAAACAGTATGAATTATGTATAGCTTAAAAATCAAACTAATTGGATGACTTTGGTTGATTTTCATACGTTTTGGTTTTCACATGTTTTGTTTTATCTTATGAAATTCATGGGTTCTAATATTTAGACGGCGTCTATATGATTTGCAACATATATATATATATATATGTATATATATATCCTCTATATATATATATA